CGGGGAGTGGGTTTGGGTTTTTTTTTAATAGATGGAGATGATGTTATCTGCATAGTCGTAACTGAATATATAAAAAGCTCAGGGCAAAGAGTCTGTCAACTCTTTAAACTGCAGCCTTAAATCTCACAGGAACACTGAGTCCCTCAGTGTGACAACTGATACAGTGTTTGAGACAGTAGAAGATATCCTGTGATCTAAACCACAGAATTCCAAAAGTTACATAGTAAACTGAAAACCTATCAAGGCAAACCTGCTAGAGGTTTTGAACTGAAAGTTTAACAAGAATTCTGATTATTCTTTGAGCAGTTAATACAATGTTAGAATAGGAACAAATGATGTCAGCCTATTTTGTGGTCTGAAAACTTAATTTTTTTTCAGTCAATTCAAAATGTGTTTTGGCTGTTGTCAAGCGTTAAAAGCACTCTGTTTTCAGGAGACTCCAAAACTCAGCAATCTAGCATATTTTAAATGGCTAGAGCTATATGGATCAAGAAGAACATGGCAGTCTTATTTCTGGGTTTATTTGTGAATGGTAAAATATTTAATCTTGACATTTATGAGAACTTCTTTCTTTCAGTATTCTGTGAAACTGGAAAAAGGAGATTACACTATTCGGTTACAAATTCGTCACGAGCAGAACAGTGAGCTGGATCGCATCAAAGACCTTCCATTTATTGTTTCTCACAGGTTGTCTAGTACCTTGAGCTTAGATATTTATGAAAACCATAGCCTTGCTCTCTTAGGGAAGAAGAAATCCAACAGTTTGACATTACCACCAAAACACAGTCAGCCATTCTTTGTTACGTCTCTGCCTGATGACAAGTAAGTTACTGAAGTCCTGTTTTTCTCATCTACATCTAACCAACTGCCTCTGCACCTAACTAAAATGATACTTTGATAGTGTCGACCTGTTTAGGCTTGGTAATTCCTCTTGTGTTGCTCTTTCACTGTTTGGGTTCTTTGTTGTAGTCCCCGTGGAACATTAATGAACGTGGTTTTAACACTGAACTTCCTTTCTTTGAATAGAATACCTAAAGGAGCAGGACCAGGATGTTATCTTGCAGGAGCTCTTACACTGTCTAAAACAGAACTTGGAAAGAAAGCTGTGAGTATTTGGAATGGATGATGGCTTCTTTTTCTGAAACTTTTGAAGCGAGTAAATGGCATGCCAGGAAGTGCTGTATTTCATGGGTTTAGTACTTTAAAGTGCACTAGGTTTAGTAACATAATGCATTTTAGAAGCAGTTGTTCCATTATAAAGTCAGAGTAACTTTGAAGTAGTTCTGGTTTTATTTTCGTCTTATACTTTCAAATTTAATTGCATTTTCTAAATTTTGAATTCTGATTCTTTCACTCTGAATCCTTGTATGTCTAGAAGCAACTGCTTTTTTGTTGGTGTGGAGCCTTTAAAAGTGATTTCGTGTAATTGCCTAGCTTAGTATAATTTTTGAATGAAAAATACGTGCATATATATTGTTTTGTGCATGTTGGTTCTCTAATAAACAGCTATACTCTTCCTTGCATGCATACAAAATTCGGCAAAAATATGTGCTTTCTTAACACTTATATGTCACTGTTACGAAGTAGTAGGAATTTTGCTGAGTCAGATGCATAAGCAGATATTCTTACCTGCTGCTCACTGATGTTGTCAACCACTAATATGACTATGCTCCAAGAGAATGATGTAAAATCTCTGTATGTGATGCTAGAAAAAAGCTGTAAAGTTTTTTTTTGCTCATAATGCAGCATCCTGTAAAAAGTGGTTTCTAACTCGTATGAATCTGTAGTGCAACAGGAATTGTAGTAACCAGATCACTCTTGTGTGTATCTGGTGCTTAGGTATTTAGAAGATTCCCTTAGCTATTCTTAAATAGATGGCAAAGCTGACAATAAACTTGAATCGATCCTGGTGATTGTTAGTATTTAGAAGTAGTTCATCTATGTCCATATATCAGTAGATGTGACTGAACAACATGTATAAAACTAGAGTATGTTTTCATAGAAAATGAAGTTTCTGTGAGTAGGTGGGCACATGTCTTTAGATCTTCTTGAAAGTTCAATTCATTCAATCTGATTTGGTTGTAGGTAGTACTTTTGGGGCAGATTGCATGTAACTACAGGTTAGATGATGTCTGTCAGGAGAATTTATGTATCAATGAGGGAAAACCCAGCAACTAATATTAAAAAACTAATAAAAATACTTAGTTTTATATTTCTTTGTGATGCCTGCAAGGTTGCAAGTATACTTTTATGAAATCCATGGTAAATCCATTACAGTAGTGTAGTATAGTTTCCCTAACTTGAATTCTGCACTTCCTTGAACTGTTGGTTGTAATTCTCGTCTATCTTATTTTAAAACCCGACCAAGTGGTTATATACAGTGATATCTGGGGTGGGAAGTAGGAGGTAGGTCAAATTTCATGTGATGAAGAATACTTAAGAGCATACACAGAAGGAAATTCTAGCTGAGGTGTGTCTCATGTCATAGTCTGAGGCATTACTGTTATGGTTGTATTTCACTGGAAAAAGGATAGCATCAGATGGCATCAGATACTTTCTGCTGCCTTTGGTGAACCTCAGTATGTACCAGGAGACAAAAAGAGGACTAGGCAGCAAACTGGATGCAATGTGAGGGGAAAATGTATCTAATTTCTGGATATTTATTATGAAATGGAACAATGCCACTAAACAGTCAAAATCCAAAATCTACACTTTCAAGACTGAATTTCTGTAATTTATTAATTTAAGCTAAGTGGTTAACAGCACTTGCTTGTCTTACAGGAATAACAGACTGTATACACAATAATGCATTGTTTTATTAATTTTAAAAACCTGAAAGAGCATGCTTTAAGAGCATGGTTGATCATAGATGTGACTCTCAAAGTTTAAGAATCTGTAGGTTGAAAGTATAACCATAATTGTACAGAGAAGGTGTCTCCATCCTGTGTGGTGTGTGCATGTTTTCTTACGGTATGTTATTCTAACTCCCAGGGGCAGTCTGCAGCAAAGCGACAAGGAAAATTTAAAAAGGTACTGAATGTTAGTTTTTGAAAAAGATATACTTAAGTCTTTTTGCATATGACTTAAAGAATTTGTCTACCAGTATTGGTTTTTAATTTGTCTTCCTCATCTACCTCCTTAGTCCTGAGTTATTTACTTCAGCACCTTAAGTATGCCCGCTGGTAGAATGACAAAACACTTCTGTAATACAAAGCTGAGAGGCACATGAGCATCTGGGTACTTCTGCAATAAGTGCTGTAAAAATGCATGTGGTGATTAGTGGTCTGTAATTTTTCTTTTTATGAAATACCCAAGAATCTTCACTATTTGTGGTCAAAATTTTCTGTGGCAGGTGTTTCTGCCTGTTCTGTTCTCTCTGCAAACTGAGAACTGAATACGAACGTAACACTTTGATGTAGAATTGAATATCTAACTGTATACCAGGTCTACTGAATTGAGAGCTGGCTTCATTACAGTCATTAAAAAGCATACTGTAGCAAGAAGTTTTTTCCTAGAAGGGATGGACTTCATTGATAAGTCTCTCAATTCATGATTCTACTTGAATATAACTCATTACAAGCTAGAATTTATACAGTGATGTAGCAGGTAGTAGAATTTACAGAAAGAATTCTGGAGCATGTGTAAGATATTTTAGGTAGGGAGTGAGTGACTTTTAACATAGCAGTGTTTAATATTGTGCTTTCTCGTATTTTTATGTTGGCTAATACAATATTCTGCTAGCAGTCAGAGACTGAAAAACAGTCTTTGTAAAAAAAAAAAAAATGTTTTGGTTTGTTCTTCAGTTGTAAGGCTATTTACATTCTTTTGTTTTCAAGGTACTGTGTTCTAGAGTCACATGCAAATTAGTCAGGATTCTTGTTAGAAATAAGGCATGAGAATTGTGAATAACACAGTTTATTGCCATAATCTGTGATTTTGTTAACAGGGAGCTGGTAATTGAGCCTGCTGACTTACTCTGGTCTTGGTGTAATAACTGTATGGGAATGCGATTAGGCTTTACAAAAAGGATTTTAATGCGCGTTGCTGCAATTTTTTTTTTATACTGCATCTGGAAATTGTGCAGATCGGTTTTAGAAAGATGATTTAAAATCCCATGTGAATACGTGGCTTCCTGATGAATAGGTTATAAAATCTTCACTAAGTGAATCTCTAACAAGGGAGTTAAACTCTAATCGTAATTTACTTTGCATAACAAAACCTGTTAAACAGATCCAAGAGGTTGCATGTTCTGTGGTTTTTGGTTTTAGACCAGAGATTTGTGTTCAGATCTGAGCAGTATACTCACCCAAGCCTCAATAGAAACTATTCTTCTTGATGCTTTCACCTATTATTCAGAAGACATCAGTTTACTAGCAGCAAATAAATAAAACACGATGTGTTTCAGAGCACTGATCCATAAGAGCTCCATTAATGAACGTATTTTTCTGAGAATGCAACTCTGAGGGCTTCCTAGTTTACAAGTTTTGAATATTTACCCTGCACTGTCATAAGTTTACATGCGGTTAAGGTGTTTTGCAGCATGGGAAACACGTTTATATATTTCTTTTGTGACTCAGTCAGGCAAAAAGGTATGTGTAGATTTTTTCATATTTTTCACAGACAAGTCCAGGTCCTCTTGTAGGATTAGGAGTGTTAATTTGCAAGTTCCATTTTTTGCTCTGATACTGGTGACTAGTCTGTAGAAAGTGTTGGTTTGTTGTTGTTGTTTTGGGGCTTTTGTTTTCAATTTTTTTTTTTGTTTTTAGTTGAGGAAGGAGGGAACTTGTCAGCTTGCACCTATGTGCATGAGACTACCAGAAATCCGGGGTGGCCGTTTCTGGGTGTTTGAAAGTACATTCAGAGAATGACTGAGGCTGGAAGGGGCTTCTGGAGGTGATCTGGTCTGACCTCCCTGCTCGAGCAGAGCTTTCTAGAGCCAGTTTCCCAGGACCATGTCCAGATGGTTTTTAACTATCTCCAAGGATGGAGTCTCCACAACCTCCCTGGGCAGCCTGCACCAATACTCCATCACCCCCCTGTGAAAAAGTCTTTCCTGACATTCAGAGGGAACCTCCTGTGTTTCTGTGCCCCTTGCCTCTGGTCTTGGCACTGGGCACCACTGAAGAGAGCCTGGATTTCTCTTTACACCCTCCCTATAGATATTTACACAGATTGAGGAGATCAGTCCCCAAATGCCCTCCCCATCCCTCCACCCCCTAAATGCCTTCTCTTCTCCGGGCTGAACAGTCCCAGCTCTCTCAGCCTTTCCCTCGTAGGAGACATGCTCCAGTCCGTCATCTTTGTGGCCCTTCACTTGACTCTCTGCACTACGTCCGTGTCCCAAACCCAAAACAAAACCCAAGACAACCCTTAGCCATGGGTTTTTACTTAACATCTTCCTGTCTTCAGCGTGTCTGGACTTTAAAAAAACCCCAACAAACGAATCCTTTCTCTGACTACTGAACCTGTGATATGTATGAAGTTCAGAATTCAGTGATGATTGTCCTTTGAACTGATCCCTACTGAAGTAGAGTGTGCCCTACTGTCAGGGCTTGGGAAGCTGATGTACCATTCAAAGTCCTCTTGGTCTCTAATGGGGAGGCACTGTGTGAAAAACAAATTGGTTCTATGTACCTTTCTTCTTTCACCACCTAACTTTTGTAATGCAGTTACAATCAGATTTTTCGCCCTCCCTCCTTGTCTCCAAGTTTTGTCCTGAAAATAGTTAGAATGGAAACAAATTATTGACTTTTTCTGGTCTGTAAGAAGAATTGGTTTTTTTGTTGTTTTACATAATGCAGCTCTTGAACAGCAATATGTAACAACTAGCTAAGGGATAGAAAATGTCTACGTCTTTCTCCCTACTCTGCCATCCTGTCCTCCAATTTGAAGCAAGAAATGCATTATGCAGATATTGATGAGTACTAGTGGAAGACTAATAAATACCATTGTGAAGTCGAACCTGAAAGGATGACTTCCTTTGAGTATTAAGACTATCCCTGTTTAATCAGGAGGCCTTCAAAAATAGGATGAAGTACATATAAGAGAGAATTTTGTGGAAGCCTAGCTGGTGGCTTCAAGAAACTTCATTCATTTTCAATGAAATAAGACTATTGCTGTAGAAGTAAGCAGTTGCACAGGTTGTATGTATTTTAAAATAGATACAAATTCCATGTGCACATTCAACTGTGCGTGTATGCAGATGTGCATAGTATTTATTAAATTGAAAATGAGACCTGGGATGTGTTCCTGCAAGGAGCTTTTTCCTGTGGTTAATTTTACTATCAGTGCTTTAAAGGACACATAACGATAGTTTGTACGTCTTTTCCACATAAAGTACCAGATGTTGACTCATCGGACAAAACTCTAAATTTAAATCTTTAAACCAAATTAAGTTAACTGATAATTAAGCTCTTTTAAGAGGTGACTGTTTTGAGGGCGTTGTGCTTGTTTATGTATGCAGTTTGTAGTTCTAGTTAAAAGTAAACTCCCCGAGGCATAGCAAACTCTGCAGAGAGTACACTGACAAAGTGCATATCCTATATGCTTCCAAAGTTTTTAATATTGCTTAATTTTTTTAGAGGTTAAACAAAGAGCAGCTTTCTCATTAATTTGAAAGTTTCCTTAAAGTCATCTTTTCAATGGATGATATGCTCGCTTGCTGCCTTTCTCTGTCGATTGCTCTGTATCTTTTTATAGGTATATATAAAATCAAATCCAGTACACTAGCAATCCTGTTGCTGTGGAACAGAGTGAAATTTGAATAAGAAAACAGATTAAAGCACGGAATTGTGGAGAGTTGCCTTTCTTCTCCTTAATCTCTAATGATGAATATTTCTGTAATGGCAATGACAGCATCATTCTGGGATCTTCTTGTGTCTAGGGAGTTGCCAAGTTTTATAAATGCTAGTCTTTACAGACAGAATAGAGGAAAGACAGAAGCCTTCAGTCTGTCTTATGGTCTTGTGATAGTTTAGTTAAATGTGATAAGCAGCTAAACCTTCTTTATCCCATGAAATAAGTTTGATGTCTGTAGAGAAGAGTGTGCCTCTTTTTCTGTAAGCCCTTTTGAAAAAGAAGGGTGCCTAGGTCTGAAGCGCATTCTTTTCCTTTCAATGATCATCGCTTGCAATGCTTGCAGAATCTCAGGAGACCGAAAGTACCTAGCTGAGAGAATAGGGAGATGACATTTTACTGTTGATGGTTTAGCTGCATAGAATTAGTCTCTTCAATGAAAGTGTTCATCCACATAAATGGGATTCTGTTAATCTAATTACACGTGATTTGAAACTTAAACCAGAGTAGTAGAGCCTTCTCATATAGACAAGGCTTGAGAACGCAGAGGCTGTTTAGATACATGACTCCAAACATATGTTGCCAAGTAAGATAGAAGAGGACTTCCAAGAAGGAAATCCTAAAACATTAGAATAATATTTCTAGGAAGGCAAGTTTCTTTCCTAAGAAAGTATTAGTCTCAATAGAGGACATCTTTTAAAAAACACCGTGAACTACTGAATCAGACTCTTGTACTGAACTAACTTCTTAGGCATCTTAAAATGTTTGGTTTGTTTTAATGAACTACGTTGTTGCTTTCTGCCATTCTAATTATCTTAGCCAGCCCCATCCCATGTTCCTGACTTGTGTAGCCTCCGCTACATCTGCTTCCCTCCATGACCTGTTTTGTCATGCTCTGGCCTAGGTCTTGCTGAAGTCTTATCGAGGTTTACTGCACTTCATACTTGAAATGCACGTGCGCAGGATAGTTCCTGTGAGAGCTACACTTTAATGTAGATTAGTGATCTAAACTAGGTTTTTTAAAAAAATATATATGTAAATGTCAATTTTGTGGTTCATCTGTGATTACGTATTGAGTAGCTGGAAAAATGGGTTTAAGGGAATATTGGTGTCGCTTTCTTTTACCAGTGCTTTTTTGAGTAAGCCATAGCAAGCTGCTGGTCTGTCTGAACTATCGGTTCAAATAAAATTGTGCTGCATCAATGTTCTTGAATAGTTTCGGAAGCATAGTATTGAAGTCCATTATTTCGAGGTTATGCGTAGCAGTTTCTAACAGTCACCTTTTTACTCAGTATTTAAGTAACCTGAAATAACTCCATCTTGTGCACAAGATTTCTTTTCATTATGTGACACTGACCTGGTTTATAGGAAACATATTCCCACAAATGTATTTTGGAATAATCAGATTAAATAATTAAATTGCCACAGCTGTTGAGCACACAACACAATATTTTGCACAGTGTTGCAACAGAGTAATGGTATCTAGAGGATTTAAACTTAAGTGATCTTCTCTGTGAAATATCCTATATGTAAAATAATGGGACATGTGCCCTCACCATTTGGGGAGAGGCTTTTTTAAAAATTACAACATTAAAACCAAACCCAACAAAATGGCCTCCCCAGATTGTAATGTTTTGGAAGCAATGACTGAAATCTGATGTTGGCTTATTTGCAAATTTATTTGTAAATTATCTTAGGAAATGGACTTCAGAGCATGGTATACGATCAGTTAGGATTTTCCTTTTAAATAGCTGTAACTAATTTTCTCATGGTAATTGTTGACTAGTGTAGTATGAACTCAAGCTATAGTGGTATTCCTATGCTAGTATATAGCATAGTTTAAAAGAAAAAAAAAAAATCTTACTATTGTGTCTACTTAATTTGAGCACAGATACAGGTGAAACTGGAAAGTCTGTAGCAGCAAACTGGAAAACAGTTGACTGTGGATGCATCAACTAATTCAGTAGGCACATGGAAGAAATACTGTCTCAGGAGGAATAAAGTTGTGCATCCTGGCATGATTCATGTTTATCATACCGTGGTATTTTTTTTTAGAATTCAGTCATCTTTGTTCATTTGCTTATTGCCAGATTTGTAGGACAAGATCTCTAACTGATTTTTTTTCTTTTGCCTTTTAACCAAGTTATATGCTTTTTTGTAAACAAACAAAAAAACCCCACCCTTCTGATTCCCTAACTAATATTATGTAAAATTACATGAATGCAAAAATGTCAAACTTGTGAAATTTTAAGCTTTCTTGTCTCACATCCAGTGTGCTGTTTTAATATTTACATCCTTGTATTGCTTAAAATACGAAGTCAAAGCAGTTCCTGAATTCTTAATGACTAATACCTTTGCTCTGAGAATCCTTACTCGGTGTATGTGTAGCTCAGAGCAGTTTCTTGCTATGATTTAGCTTTTGTATAGCATCAGAAAAAAGTGTACTGTATCCCTCTCAGTATGTGTCTCTTTTCCCACCTCCAGGATGTCCTTACTGTTCATTATCATCTGATACCATCGCCATCAAAGAGTAAAAATGGCAGCAAAGAGAAAGAAAGAGAACAAGAAAAAGAAAAAGATGTAAAAGAAGAATTTGCTGAAGCTTTAAGAGATCTAAAAATACAGTGGATGACCAAGTATGTCTGCTGTCATGACTACACAAACTTGAAGCAGCTGTACAAAAAAATATCCAGAATTTGTTCTTTTATGCTCTGTCCTCGTCTCTTCTAGGCTGGATACCACTGACATGTATAATGAGTTGAAAGAAGCATTTCCTAATCATCTTCCGTTGTACGTTGCAAGACTTCATCAGCTGGATTCTGAAAAGGTTATTTAACATTTTTTTAAAACTTGATTTGTCTCAATACATCCATGTAGCCTAAACAGCTGAATCTTTCTTCATACGTGTTTGGTCTTGAAGTGACTGCCATAGCTGTACTCGGTACTATAAAGCAGAAATTCCTAATTAGATTGACAACTGCCTCCCTACCTGACTGTGATTTACTTAATCCCACAGCAGAATGAAAGAAAGTATGCCTACCTATAGTCTGTTTGCTTATCATTTACTCCTTGTTAAGTTAAACACACTGTAAGTTTCCTTACTGGTTTAGACTACAACAACATTATTCTAAATGGCGGTTACTGAGACAAGCACACATCCCATTCTGCTCCTCTACTGTGTTGGTAATTTCTTGTAGCAGAATTGCTCAGACGACTGAGGACAGTAACCCCTTGACATGACACAGCTAAATCAACCATCTGTCATTGTCCTCAAAAATGAGAACCATGGATAGAAAACATATGTGTGCTGCTGACATATGTCTGCTTTTTTTGTTTATCTTGAAGATAAACAGCTTGGTGTATATGTCAGTAGCTTGAATATTTTTTCTGTTTATTTGATTCTGATTTTATATTTATTTCTGAAATGAACAACTGCTACCATTATGTAGGAGGATTAATTTGTACTGAAAGGTGGTTTTCTTTCTGTAAACTCTGCATTTTGCATATACCCACCTCGTATTTTACAGTTTGTTTTCAGTGAAATGGACTACATATGCGGGAAATCTTGATAATGCAGACTTCTTACCAGTTTTTTGAATCAAAAATTGGAGAAAGTGGAGAAAAGGACATGTTGAATTATCTAATCTTATTTCTGCATACTTTTGCAATTATCCTGGTGTTAGTAGAATGAACAATCAAGTAGTGTGATTTCGTAGTGCTAACCACGTTTTTTTATCCCTCTTTTAGGAGCGAATGAAAAGACTTGATGAAATTGTTGAAGCTGCAAATACTGTAATCTCTCATATTGATCAGACAGCATTAGCAGTATATTTTGCCATGAAGACTGATCCCAGACCTGATGCAACTACTATAAAAAAGTACCTACCCAGTAAATAATTTTCTTGCATCCTATTTCTGTAATCTGTGTACTTTGTCTCTACTTATAAGAAATGGAATGACTATAATCCTTTAGAATAACTTGTGTTATTTTGAGGGGCACAGGTAATTTCAAACTTGACTGCAAAATTATTTTGTTCTCTTATTATATCTCCAGAATGTAGGGACACTGAAACCTGCAAATATTTACTTAGAAATGTTAAATAGAATAAACAAAAGTGCTTTCAGGATTTAAATGTGTCAGAAAAATGGGGGGTTAAGTTTTTGTGTCAAGCTGAATCTCGGATCAGGGGGACCAGTAGAATATCGATACAGAGGTGTGTGCTTTGAATGCTACCTACCTTTTGGATCTGTGTTTGAAGACAAAATTGACAGCGATCTAAGAAGTAACTGCTTGCAAAAGACTTCATTTGTGAAAAACATGATGACCATACTTGTGCTTCAGAGTATTTTTGAGACCTGTTTTTTTTTTCTTTAAGTTTTAGATTGTTGCTCTGAATTAGCAGTATATATCCTTAGGAAGACAGTATTTTGAAGGTGACACCCTAGTCTGGAGAACAACTGGTGGATTGCAGTGTGTGGCGTGGTGCTGTTTTAGTCACAAATAGAGCAGCAGATTTGAAGATTAGGCCCTTAAAATGGGGGATGCATATTTGTTTATTTTAGATAAAATACTAGATTTCAATTGTAAAACTTGTCTGTCTGTTCTAGCTATCCTGAGTATATGTGTATAATTGTAGAATTGCTGATGTAAAAGCAAAGCTATGACATAATAAACTTAATTCTAAACATTTCTTGGTAAGTTGACCCATTAGGTCATGTGGTTGAATCTAACATCTGAAATTGAACACCAAATTCAATGGTGCTTTAAATGGGTGCAGTTCCTTTGAAGTCAGCAGAATTGTATCTGCTTATGTTAGTGCTGGATTTGACTCTCTGTTTATAATGCCAAGAACTATAAAACTGTGTTTCTAGATGCTGGCTTACTCAGTTTTAGAATCCTGAGTTGCCCTTGCCTTAAGACATGAAAGGCATTTCAGATTTAGAAGAATGATTGAGCTTGTTTAATGCCTAGTAATTTTTCAGGTAATTTTTTACAATTAGTTTATAGTAAATAACCATGCTTTAAAAATTATCTTTGTGCTTATTTTCATTGTGTGCATACTAACTGCTGTAAACTTTGTAGCTTAAACTCAGTACAGCACTGATTCTGCTCTTCATGAGGCATCTGCCAAAAGTTCTTTAAAATTTTTCATGTTACTTTTTTCTAGCGAAATGGAAAAACAGAAGACTACTTTAGTGGATGCACTTTGTCGAAAAGGAAGTGCACTGGCTGACCAACTTCTTCATCTGCAGGCCCAAGAAGGGGCTGCTTCCAGTGATGCAGAAGGCAAAGATGAGGATCATGAGAGCTGCTCAGAAGCTTTGACAGAGACATTCTGGGAAACCACAAAATGGACAGATCTTTTTGACAGCAAGGTAAGAAGAGAGCAGAGCAGATTTTTTTTTTGCCTTTTGCATGTTGATTTTTTTGATGGTTTCTCCTGGAATGATGCACTGCTTTTGTGTGCACAGCCTCATACATTCCTCCCTTCTACTTTTTCATGCTGTCCCCGTATGTTTTGCTTCCTTAATGACCTTTTTCCACAGAAGTTTTGCCAAGCCTGTCAACTCCTTGGTAAGCCCATTTCTGTGCATGTGAATGTAGAGGTGAAGGGAAGGGTATAGAACAGTACCAGATTTCAATGAAAAAGCTGCTTGCTTTATTGAATTGCCTCTTTCTGTACCTTTCAGGGAATATTTTTGATTAACCTCTGCGCTTTTCTAGCTGTACACACAGAGAAGTGTGCAGCATCCCTACTCTGTTCAGTCCTGCATTCTGTAGCCTCTTCTACACTATGGACAAGAGAAGTTTTGTATTTTGCTGTCAGTAATGTCTGTAGAGGTAAAGGACAAAACCCTTGGAAATAATTACACTTACGTATTTATTAGCACAGATTTCCCTGTCATTTTAAGGTTCTTAATCCTGAGATTTAAGTTTTTGTCTGCTTCATTCAAGACAGCTATTCAGGAAGAAAAAAGAAATCCATTGTAGTTGATTAGTTATGTGGGTTTTAATTTACGGCATTTATGACTTTGTATGTTTAACTGTTGAGTTACTGAGTATTAATTAGTTGCTGTACTTAACTCTTGCATATGGCTGTGTTTTAGTAGAAGATGAAGTGACCGATATATTTGTTTATAATTCAGTTAGATTGCCAAAGCACTTCAGATAGTTACAAAAGGAAAACTCTGAAATTAAAAAATTTCATTATTTCCTTGACAGTAAATAACCTTCCCTGTAAGAACTTGTGCTTTAGCTGGAGGCCTGAACAAGGTTGATGATGGATACCCTCACTTCTTTTGACATATATATGTTCTTGTACACGTACATCTTTGCAGCATTCCTCTTCTAATCTCTAACTGATTATAATATCCTGTGGTAGCAGATTTTGTGCTTTAATCATTGTCTGGCCCATGACTTTCTTGCTGTCTATTTGTAAATACAGTACTGTTTTCCAGTGTAGCGACCCCTGGTTTACTTCTGTCTTTTGATTTTTTTAAAACTGATGAGAATAATTTCAGTGGAAAAAATGCCAATATAGACATCTTGTTGGGGTTTTATCACTCTTTGTTACAAGTTTTATTTCAAGACAGATATCGATTCCTGGCACTCTTGAGCTGTGTGCTCTGGGCCTGGAATGAGTAACTCATTTGAATCGCACACATTAGGGATTGAACCTGTTTCTTTGACTGCCTTAACCATGGATTGGTCTAAGTGCATATTCAGATTTTGCTCTGAAAATTGATGCTTCTATATAGTTAAATTGCTACTGAAAGGCCAACAAAACTTTTTAGATTTTTATAGCATTTCATATGGAAATAACTTCCATACTGTTCACGCAGTATGTTTGTCTGCTTTTCCATCTTGGTTTTATGAGTCAAATTGAAATATAAACTAATTGACTGTTGTGGGCCCTACACAGTTTGCTTCCCTGCAGTGGGATGGGAGAGAGAATCGAGAGAATTGGAAGGGTAAAAGTGAGACAACTCGTGGGTTCAGATAAAGGCAGTTTAACAGGTAAAACAAAAGCTGCGCCCACAAGGAAAGCAAAACAAGGAATTCGTTCCATACTTCCCATGGGCAGGCAGGGGTTCAGCCATCTCCAGGTACGCAGGGCTCCATCACGCCTAACGGTGACTTGGGAAGACAAACATCATCACTCCCAATGTCCCCCCTTCCTTCTTCTTCCCCCAGCTGTATGTGCTGAGCATGACCTCAGAGGGTATGGGATATCCCTTGGGTCATCGGGGTCAGCTGTCCCGGCCGTGTCCCCTCCCAACTCCTTGTGCCCCCCCAGCCTCCTCACTGGTGGGGTGGGGTGAGAGGCAGAAAAGGCCTTGACGCTGTGCAAACCCTGCTCAGCGACAACTCAAACATCCTGGGGTCATCAACGCTGCTTTCAGCACAAATCCAAAACACAGCCACATAGCAGCTACTGTGAAGAAAATTAACTCTATCTCAGCCAAAACCAGCACATTGAGGATACTTTTAGCCCAGAAACGTTCTAGAGTCCTCTGGGTATTTTAAATGGGTGGCTTCTGCAAATGGAGAAAATGAGCCTGTCATACTACATCCTAATGACCCCCAGGGTACAGCTTTCTCCCGTGCTTTTCTGCAGCCGTTCTGTCCTGTAGCCTTACTTACTCAACCCTGCCTGGCCTGCGTACAGTTTATCTTCTGAATTCTCTTGGTGCTGGACAAATTGCCCTGTATTAGTACAGTTATGATTACTGGTATAAGTAGTATTATGAGGGCCACAAAGATGATTAAGGAACCAGAGCGTCTGTCATATGATGAGAGACTGAGACTGTCCACCCTGGAGAAGAGAAAGTTCAAGGAAATTTTGTCTACGTGTATACATGTATGATGGGTGGAGTAAAGAAGGTGAGGCCAGGCTCTTCCCAGTGGTTCCTGGTGACAGGACGAGATCCAGTGGGCACAGACTAAAACACAGGAACTTCTACTTAAGAAAAAACTGGGGTTTGTTTTTTTTCTACGGATTTTTTTTTTTTTGGGGGGGGGGGGAGGGGGGGGGACGGGGGTGGAGGGAGCGT